ACGCATATTTCGCATGATATATAGGAGTCAAATACAATGATTTATTATCAGAATAATGTTGACAATTGGTGTAAAATATTTAAAAAGTTTTACTAATCGTTTAAGGTTGTTGTTGTTAAGTTTCTTGGCTTTAAGCTTTAAATTCTCAATATTAACGCTGCAGTTTTCGCCATAAATGCGCCACTCGGATGCAGTTGTTCTGACACTCCATCTGCAGACAGCTGGATGAGCCAGAGGCGCTCACAGACAAGCTGGCGCCAGGCTTTCACACAATCACAGGATATGTAAAGACTTCAATAACGACCCATTAGGCCTAATGATTGAGAATCGAGCAGGCGCTACCTCCTCCATGCATATGTTAATGTGATGCGGGATGGACCTATATATATATTCAGGCCGCTTCTGGAGGCCTGGCAAACAGTCTTGGATTGTACTCGGATACATTCACGTCCTCAGACACACAGACAGCAATTATGGTGAAGAAGTTTTCTGTGGACTGGCTCGCACAAAGCTTTCACGGGTCGCCGCCTCAAGACGTTCTGGAGCCGGAGAAAGAGACGCGCAGGCCACACGTACCGTGCGTGGTTCAACCGAGACCTCCAACATCACATGACAAGGTTTACTTGCAGCCAAAACCAAAGGTTAGCAAAGCTGAACAGAAACCAGAGGCCGTTAAAGAGATGGAGGTCACAACTCCGGTTACGCAAAGAAGCTGCTCATCTCCAAGCTGTAAGTTTACGCGCTTCGATGCACTTTCGGTTTTTATTAATGTGAATGACAACAGAGCGTGTTTTAATGTTATATTACATGTTCAGTTTCAGAAAACAGCGGCTATTCGTCTGGTTATGAGAGCGAAGCGGCCGCGTCTGAATGCGCTTCCATCGAAGACGCGGCGACGCGAAGAATCAGAACCAAATTCACTCCGGAGCAGATCGACAGACTGGAGAACATCTTCAGCAAGCACAAATACTTGGAGGCGGGCGAGAGAGTGAAGACAGCTTTGAAACTCAACCTGTCCGAAACTCAGGTGAGACGCGCGCAGGCCACTGTCTTCACTCGAGGACTGTATTTACATCTCGAGAGTTATTTTCTCGAAATGCCTTGAGAATAAAAAGCCTCTTATACACCGAAAAGACTAGACGGTTTCACAAAATGTCAAGGAATTGGCAAACAACACTTGAATGAAAGCGTATTTTCTTGAAAAACATGGGCTTCTCCAATAATCGCGTTTGAAATGATTCGAAAAGTAACGTTTTGAAAAAAAAAAATGGAACGCGTTTGAAATGTATCTTCTCGTTGTCCAGGTCAGAACAAATGTAACGTTTTGAAAAATGGACGCGTTTGAAATGTATCTTCT